GGGAGAGAGCAGGCCTCCTGCAAAATACCAGAGTGCTCGTGTTTCTAAACAGGAATTCTGAAAGGAAAAAGAAAAAGTTTATATCTACAGCTGGTACACATATGCAGAAGGAAACCATCTCCAGTAGAGCCAGATCTCTGTTTGGCTTCCAACCTCACAAACGTGGCCATCACCTCTGAACACAAACCTCTGGAATCTACAGAGGAATACGGAGAGAGCTGCGAGGAGTACTAAAGCAAGCAGAATACTTCCCTTGGACTTTCTATTTGCCTGAATATGGCAAAAAAAGAGCCAACATTAAAGCACTCTTAACAACTCTAAAATCCTAACTTTCAGTCTGTTTGCCAAAGGTTTTCTTTGAACTGGAGATTTTCTAAGTGTTCCCAGACTATGTAAAGTCTAACTCATAACATTCAAATATTTAAAAAAAACAAAGGGCAAAAGCAAACAGAGAAACAACAACAAACTTAGAGGTGATTCATTACATCTCATCACATCAGCAACTCTCTGTCGAAACAGCATCCCAGGAAACCTCATCCTGGATCCAAGGCAGGGGTCGAAAGATTGGAACTTCATTCCTTGCACTATAATATCATGTGTCCCCTGCACTGCTCTGCATCTCTTTACAAAGACAGCCATGCCACGAAAAATACGAGGGAGGAAAAAGCTAACCTGATTACACAGCTTTTTCACAATTTACTGGAACTAGATGTTCTCTTCTGTAAGATATAAAAATACAGACTTCCAAAGGGTCCCTCGCAGCACAAAAGCTGTTATTCACTGCCCCCATCTTGATTACAATCCCAGTCTGCCCTCTTACTTGTAAACCCAAACCTATCTAGAAATTATCAGCAGACTGATTTCTTGCCATCCTCTGGAGCACCACAAACAGGCCACAGCTTGGACAAGGACACCGGCTGTCATGAAGCACCAGCCATGTCCCCACTGTCCCCTTTCTGTGGCACCCTGCAGTTCAAGGTCTCCAGTCACTGTGCTGGAAAGAAGTCAGGCTGGTAGAGGGTGTCACAGATCATCTTCTGGCTCACGGTAGGATGAGAAACCACAGACTTTCCTGTGGAGCAAAGACTTATCGTCTATTACATCATCTTTTAGTCACAGGGGACTGATCTCAACACCACTAGTCATCTTTATGAACCCTGTGCTGACATGGCTGAATGACAACACAAAGTCACCACTCATTGCTGCCACTAAAGGTTTATGTGGACTGGGCAAGGCACAGACCACAGCTGCATTAACTGTCTGTCCTGACCAGCTGGCCACGCTCATGGCTGCAAGAAAGGTAATTCTCCAAATACTCAGGGACACTGAGCACACAAGTCATCCATGCAAGAGGAACAGATCACCTCTGTTCACACCTTGCATCTAATTCCACCCATGTATTACCACAAAGTATGATTTTAATTTACTAACCAGCCTAGACCCCATAAAAAAGTTAAATCAAAATTCAGCTTGGGGAGTAAAAGAGGAGCTGATTAACTCATTCAACCCCATGCAAAATAAGGGGATGATAGTTTAGTAACTTTTTCAGCAGTAAACTGTCTGTATACCTCTAGCACCTAGAAGAAGACAAAACCAGCACCCTGGAATAACACCCTTGTCTGCAGTTTGAAAGAGAAAGGGACACTTCCCAGCTAGCCACAACACTTCTCATCTCTCATCACACAAGGAGCAGAGGAGGAGAGAGATTATTGCAAGGGTACTTTCTCTTCCATCTGTGCAGCAGTCAGTATTTTCTAACAAGAAGCAAATACAGCTGCATCAACAACTGCATTTCAGTGCAGTTTCACAAGTGACTTAGGCTAATATAACTTTCTTTTTTTGTCTTCTCCCCTGTGTTAGGCATTGTTTTTACCCAGATCAGCAAGCTGATCCAAATGATTCAATCATCCAAGTCAGCAAACAGAGCATGAGGCAGTTCCTTGCTAGTATTTATACAGTTAAATCAGCAGTACCTTTGGGGCCAAAGCTTACAAACCTGTCCAAATACTTCCAGGTGACATTCCTGGCCGGTAGCATTTGACTTTTGCCATTTAGAGCACAGAGAGAGCTAAAACCCAGCAGTTCCTGGTAGACCTTTTCCTCCCACGCCACGATTAGCTGCAGTATGTCCCAGAAGCAGATAGCAGCCATGATCCGATTTGTCCCAATCCCAACTCAAGCAGCTTTACACCACCCTCCTAACAAGATCAGCACTGGCCAAACACCATTTATCCAGCCTGATCAAAGATGGATTAGATAATGAAACCCTAACTGCATAAGCTGTCTGAGCATGCTGGCCTGAGACAGCAGAAAACAAGAAGCCCAGTAAATCTAAGGGCTATTCGAAGCTTTCAGGTACCCTCAGCCCCAAGGTATTAATAACTAGCTACTGTCTTATCTTCCTATACCCTAGTTTTGATATTTCATGCTAATAGACTGCCCAAAAATCTGTTAGTTTTACAGCTACACTAGTAATTTGTACAGCTAAATGATTTATTTCAGCATTACACACTGTGTTTATATCCTGAGCCATTGGCACTACAGGTTATTCAAAGAAGAAATGGTGGGGGGCATAGCAGCATTCCGTGATTCCTTGCTATCAGTCCAGAGACACGAGGTCACCAAGTTTACACAGCAACAACCCGTGGCTCTGGAACAGGAAGTAGAAAATTGACAGGATCTCCAGGAAAAACAAGGTACGACGGTTGCTGGTCTGATTTCCAGCTTTCAGAAAGCCTCTAGTACACAGGAGAGGGAGGAAAAAAAAACATCAAAGAACAGGCTCTTTATTCCTCTTGCAAGCATTACATACAGTTAAACATAGAGGATTTACTAAAAAGAAGCTGTTATTCTAAAATAAGGTATTTCAAAAGAAGGCACTATCTGAACAGAAATCCTTATGAAGGGCAATCTTGTGTTTTGTCTTTTAAGGAAAAAGATACCGAATTTCCCAAACATTAAAGACCATATTTTTCCTACCTCTGATGTTATTGGTAAGTTTGGCTTCTAATTTGGTACTTCTTGCTTGCAAACACGAGAAGATTCTCCAAATATATAAATTACACTTTTTAAAACTAAAAAAAGTCAAGGGAAACTTCTGGACACAGAATTATAGAACAGTTTGGTTAGAAAGGACCTTAAAGATCACCTAGTTCCAAATGATGGTATGTATTTGCACATACATACATATGTTTATTTTCATCTTTTATAATAAAAGGATTGAAAAAAATTTCCATATACGTACATATGGAAAGATTAAAATTAAGAATGCCAAATAAGTACAATATGAGTGTCTTAATCTGAAGAACAGCTACACTGACTACAGACACACTTAAAAATTGGGCTCTACTAGTTGCACCTCACCTAATTTCTCCACTGTTTCCCACTATTTGGTACAGAAATAAACCCCAGCTTTCTGCTAATTAATCTGACAACCAATCTCTACTGTCATGACCACCAGCACTACACAAACTGCTTCACACACACACTGTTGTAGCTCCATGGCAGAACACTGCAATCTTACCATTCATTGAACAGACAGGACACTTGTCAATGTACATACAGGGAGAGAAATTGTACTAATTTGCAATTAAAAACAAAAAAAAAAAACAAAAAAAAAAAAAAAAAAAAAAAAAAAAAAAAAGAAACACCAGACTTTTGCTAAACCAGCCCAAGTCCCTTCTTGGGCAATTTTCAGTTGATTTACCCAGGTTTATATCAAACCAGCCAGTTAAACCACTATATGCAGGGTAAACTGTGCATCTTCTGCAAGTACACAGGATCTCTGCCTCAGTTGAACTCTGAGGAGCTGGAAGAATTTCATGTCACCATGTTTGTGCACTCATTCATAACTGCTAGCAAGACACACTGTACAAACACTGCGATGCTGAGCATCTTTCTCCTTGCAATTGTACACATTGCCTGAGTCATACCTGACACCTACATGTGGGAGAACACACTACTTCAAGGGATAAAGGAGCACTGCACGATGGGCACTGGCCCTTGGGAGAGCACAGGCAGCAGCAGCGCTTAGGTACAAAGCTCCAGCAAGTGCTCAGGCCACACCGTCACTCTTGGGAAAGACTGATGCTGTGGGGTGGAGAGACCACCATGAAAGGCTGAACATCAGACAGAAACACAAACAAAACCTTCCTGCCACAAGCTGTTTAAAAAATAAGTAATTCTTGAGCGTGAAAACTGGGGACAGCCTGGGAAATAAAGAGTGTTGGCCAGCACTTAGCATCTTGATGAGAAGCACCGTGGAAAGAATAGGATGCTCCCTTTGGAAAGCCAGGAGCACTTACCAACCCCAGAAACGGTGAGAAGAGAAACAAGCTCAGATTAATAAATCACGCTGCTTCCAAAGAGCTCTGATATTCTCATCACGAGAGAAAGAAGCAGAAAAGGCCAGTGCAACTGCCATAATAAAACAGCCCTCCACAACACCCAGACAAAGGGAGGCAGAAACACCTTGGCAGCATCACCCCACAAACACAAAGGCCAACCCACCTGAGACAAGCGATGTTTTGGGGACGATCAAACCGCGCTGGCAGGAGACGACAGAAACGTGGGACTCTGAACCACCCTAGAAGACGCCCCACTGCTCCGCTTCCCCCTTCCCAAGCAGCACCTGGGATTTCTCCCGGTGCTGTGCAAGCCCCAAGCGCCGCGCGTAAACCCCGCCGGGCCCGGAGCGCCGCCGGTGCCCCGCACCCGCACCCGACCCCGACCCCGCGGCCTCCCCCAGTGCCCGGCGGTGCCCGGGGCGCGGACCCGGCGCCGGCTCCCCCAGGGCCCCGCGCCGCCGCCCCACGTGCTGGGCTGCGCCCCGGGAGCCGCCGGGCTCGGCCCGGGGCAGCCGCGCTCGCCTGGCTGCCCGCGGGGAAAGGGCCGCACGCCCGAGCGCAACGCGCCGAATCCCGCAAACCGAAATCAACGCGGCCCGGCCCGGCCGAGCCCCGGGGAGGGAGAACCGGGGACGGCCCGGCCCTGCCCGCTACCTGCATGCCGCCGCCGTCGGCCTCCGCCTCCGTCCGCAGCCGCTTGCTGTGGCCGCCCTCCGCGCCGTCCCCGCCGGGCATGGGCTGCTCCAGCTCCGGCTCCCGCTTCACGCCGCGGGCGGACCCCGCGCCGCCGCCGGCCAGGAGCTGCGGCTGTGGCTGCTGTGGCTGCTGCTGCGGGGGCTGGCCGCCCTCCGCCATCCGCGCCGCCGGAGCCCCGGCCGCCCCCCGCCCCGATCGCCCCGCTCTGTCACCGCGGCGCCCGGCGCTGCCGGAGGAGCAGGAGCAGCAGGAGGAGAAGGAGGACGGCGGCGAGCCCTGCGCCGCGACCGGAGCAGCAGCGGGCGCGCCGGGCTCCGACCCACCGGAGCGCCTCGGTCACGGGCTCGGCGGCGGCTGGGGAGGGGCCGGAGCCCCTCGGCAATCTCCGGAAACACCGCCGGAGCAGGGCGACCCCCGCTCGGAAACCTTCGGCGGCGGCGGCGGCGCCGGGCGGGGCGGGGCGCGGGCGGAGCGCGGGGCGGGGCGGGGCCGGCGCGGGGCTCCGGGCGCCGCGGAGCCGCACGGGGCGGCGGGAAATGGCCGCTCGGCCCGGCCCGGCCCGGCCGGCCCCGCCGCACCGCGTTCGGCACCGGGGCTGCGCCGAGCCCGCCCCGGGTCCGGCCGCCACCGCCCTCCGGGTGCGGGACCACCGGCGGGGCTGCGGCGGTCACGGTGGCCGGAGCAGTGCGGGGCACCCAGCCCTCGGGCACAGCCGGGTCCCCCGTCACGGGCCGGCTTGATCCTAGCCCCGCCGGCGCAGAGCTGCCTGTCGGCGTGAGGTTTCCGCAGAGCTTCCCTAAGGAGCTGAGGCGAATCTGGGGTGATGGGTGCTGGCCTGACCCCCGCTCTAGGTTAGGAGGATCCAGCGGCCCGGGATGTGCTGCCCAGCTCCGGAGCCCCGTATCCCGCTCAGAGCGGCCTCGCATCCCTCGGTGCATTGTGTGCGTTCCGGCCTTTTCCAGGCCTCCTCCCTGCACCTCCCTCCAGGGCTCACCTCGCAGCCCCAGAGCACATCTGATCCCTTGAGAAAGGGCTGTGCTGGTTTCTTGTCCCTAATGGCCTCCGTGGGTTTCTGTTGCACCTACATATGTATAAATATATCTTCTCATTTTTTCTGCTGCATATGACTTCCAACCAGATGGAGACAGCAGTCTGCAAGAACCCAAAGCCTTTTCATCAGTCCTTCTGTGTGTCTCCATGGTTTTGATCTTGAGGAACAAATTTGGGATCCTCAACCAACACATAAAGTTGTTTTTATTATTCAGCTGCTGTCTGGTAGCACAAAGGGCAATATCTGCTCTAGAATGAGGAAGGCATAGGCAGCCTGCGGTGTCCTGAACGTGGTCTGGAAGCCATGGCAACTTGATGGAGAGCTAATCCACAGATCATAATACAAATCTGTGGTTGGCTTGATTATGGGATGGGAATGACACTCCTGCCTGCCGACAGTTTGGAGAAAAAGGAAGAAACTAAAAATTGAGTTGGTCAGTGTGAGGAAGCCTTTCTTGACTTCTCGAATATCACCATGTGCTAGAAAGCCTGGAGACCAGTTAGATTATCTTAGTGTTCCATATCCCCTATAGGTGCTACATCTGTTGATCTTCATGAAATTATAGAGCCTTTAGTTTTGAGTGACAGTTACCATACATGACTCCAGCCTTCCTTCACACCACATTTTTCCTCATCCAAAAATAGTTTTCAAGGCCACATTGAAAGCTATTTTAAGTGGTATGTTTTCTGCTGAGGTGCCAGCTTGTCTCCTCCAGTGACAGGGGAAATCTCTTTTTTTCAAAATGATTGTAAAACCCCACGGAGTGGCAGGCACCCAGAAGACAATTACATGCAGCTTTTGTCTGCTCATCCACCAAGGGTAAACACATGTCTCATTCGTCTTGACTGGGTTTGATAAAATGAGCCAGACTGTCAAACAACACTGAAGGAACGTGTTCAGTCCATTCTTGGCTCGGAAAGAAGCTGAAATTCTCATGACTGGGATGCTGCTCATACAGAGAAAAACAGCTTTTCTGATTTCTCTTTCTCCCCCTACTTTTGACAAGGAATTCTACATGAATGGTCCAGGTTAAGGTATTGCCTGTGAGGAGCTGCAGAAGGCTTCAACCTTCAGACAAGTTAGGAATAAACAGTTTGGAGAGCAATCTTGGGAGCATTCCTCTCACTGTGGTAAGTGAGAGTCTGTCTGACACTTCCCTTGGGGATATCAAAGAAAGGAGATGCCTTATGATGCCCAGCTTCCATTTTTCTCTTCTCCTTCTCCTAACCCCATTTCCACCATCTCCTGCCATGCAGGTGCCAAAGCTGCTGCCAGTTCTGCCTTGCATCCTGTGTGCCCGTGGTCTGTGCTGCACAGCAGCTCCTGGCAGAGCTGGCAGTGCCATAGGCACATCCCTTGGAGAGGCATTTTCAGCTCGCTGTGGTATGCAGCCTGCCAGGGGAGCACCCTGAATTATGGTGCGGGTGGAAAGAGCTGAGCGGGGTCCTCAGTGACCTGCAGTTTGGTGACAGTGACCTGCAGCTGCCACCACCATGCTCTGTGTCATTGTGAGCTTTCTGACACTGCTGCCATGTTACTGCACACTACCACTTATCCAGATCTTTCCATTTCCTCTTAAAATAAGATTAATTAATTTATCTTCATGGTATGTTTGTGGGGTAGGTATTATCTCCATTTAACAGATGGGATATGAGGCATTCCTGAAGTCACAAAAAAGCTTTTGAGCTGAGACACAATCTTAATCCGTTGATTTCCTTTCACACAACCCAGCTGCCTTTTAGGTATTTGTATGTGACATCTGAGACATACTAAATAGACAGCTGACTCTGTTAACCCTTCCTCTGCTGCACAGCACTCTTCCCAAAGGCCCCTATGTGCTGTGATTTCATGGGCAAGTTTGCAGAGCGCTCACCAGCGCTTTGCCTTTGACACATCAAAGAGAGGCAATCCTAGGATGTGTTATCCTTGCAGAGAGCTCCCAGAAGCTGGCATGAAGAGTGTATCTTTCCTGAACAGATTCATACAATTTTAGAATAAAATTGTGGTGGTTTCCTTCCCCAGAAGGATACCTTCTGAAGATATTCCTTGGGGAAACATGCTGGTGCTCCCGCTGGGCTGGAAATCAGGTGGCATCAGGATGCTGGGTGTGAAACATCTGTGGAAGTACAAAGGGCTGGGTCCCAGAAGGTGCTTGAATGGAGCAGAGGCAGTGACTCATGAAGGTTCTAAGGCACAGACATGAAGAGAGGCGCAAACTCAGTTATTAGCCTTTGGCTCTAAGGCATAGAAATCATGCAGAGACGCTTCAAAGCAAATGTCTTCTTTCCACCACCACAACTGGGAACTGTTTCTTGCTGCTTCCATCACCTACACCCCATATCTCACCCTGCTGACCAGCTCCCTCTTGCCCTGTCAGCCTCCAGCAGCTTTGTTCCTCTCCTTCATGGAGGATTTTGTCTCTTTGCTGAGTGAGTCAGGTGGGGTCTAGCCCAACCATGCTCATTCCTGCTGTTTCTGTCCAGTCAGACAAACCTCTGGAGCCAAATGCTGTTCCTCCCCACAGCAGTGCTCCCACAGGTGACGAAGTGCCGCCAAGGTAAAGTTCAGCCTGGACTTTGGTCCTGGTTTCGCCGGAAGCGGCGATGGAGCTTTCAGTAGTAACTACTGTGGGTAAATGTTTCTTCTTCCTTATCTCAGGCCAGCAATTTGCTACAAAATTTTACCAGCAGAAGCTGTCTTTTCCTGTAACCAATTAGCACATGGCTGAAAATATATAACCTAACTCAGCAGAATCCAAAGACCTTGTCACCTGGCCCAAACCGTGTGCCAGGAGGATGCCAGTGCCCAAGCAGGGGCACAATGCCAACATCAATATGTCACTGTGATGCAAGGTGCTGGCAGCTGTCACTCACTGGGCCAGCAACCACAATGCACCCGCTGTTTTCCCAGTGCCACCTCTGGCAATGAGGACACCTGGCCTCAGGAAACGCCTCCAAGCACCTCGGCACTCCAGCAAGGCAGCAGTGTCAGCAGCTGGGAATCCACCAGAGAGCTCAGGGCAAAACCTTCCTGACTCATTTTCCTGTTTCCTGCAAACATCCCTGCAGCTCATTTATGGTTGCTGTTTGCTTGGTCTGTGGTTTTGTGGGGCATCAGGCTGTGCAGCAGGTGTGGCATTTCAGGTGTCCCAAATGGCACCTGCAGCACAGATGCAGTTACCTGCATGGATGCAATTAGCATAGAAATGCCATCTGCCTGCACTGCTTATGCCTGGGGGCATGGGGAATAAAGTAAGTCCTTCAGCACTTCTAGCATGAAACAGCACCCCTCCAAATCCTAAAAACATGTAATGGAAAGGTGTGTGAAGAGCACATGTGGGAGATGAAGGGTCTCTTGTGTTCCCATTGAGATGGCAGGGCTGACTGTATAAATAAGACTGAGATAATGACCAAGATAAACAGTGTGAGCCGCAGAGGTACCACAGGGTACCTCCCTTCATGGGGACATGGACCAGAAGAAAAAAAACATCATTGGCTCTCCCCTGCCCACTGGATGCCAGAGATCCAGTACTTGGGAAATACCTGACGCTTGTTCCCCTCGGCTGCCTGTCATGAGTGAACCAGAGGTGGCTGAAGGCTGGACTCCACATCAGGGGCCAGCAGTGCCTGCTGTGGATGCAGTGCTCCAGTGGCCTGGCTGCACACCTCTGGCTGTGTCTCTGAAGCACCTCAGGGCCGCGCCACCCTCTGCTCTCTCAGACACGAGTCTGTAGCAGCCTGACATACCCAGTTACACGGCACACAGACAAAGAGAGAATACCAATCATTATTTGCAACTGCGCATTTCCAAATAGGCTGGAGGCCGCACAGCTTGAGAAGGGCAAATGCCCTGCTGGAGGCAACATTCATTCCTGGTGTAACAGGCAGATAGAGCAAAGGACAAAGCAAAACATTCTCTGTGGTGGCTGGGCACATCGTGGAACAGAACGGGGCGGGGGGCAGGGTTATCACATAACTCCTGTTCGTTTTCAGTGAAGAACCCTGTTTATTACGGCTTGCAGCTACAACTCAATTTACTACATGGCTGATCTCTGGAGTTGAGGCTGATTCTTCCTCCCTAACTGGTTCATTGAAAAGCTTCTGAAAGT